AGATAGACCTGCGGCCGTCCACAGGAAGTGCTACGGTCAGCACCAGGGCTGCCGCAGCACAAGCCTTGCTGGCTCAGCACCTGGGCTGTCCAACAAAGCCCCCGCAAACAGCCGCCAGTCTATTAGCACAGCCAGAACAGAGGCATTCCTACTATGCTTCTTGCTGCCTGTTGCTAGTGGTTTTTCTGATCTTGTGATGCTTCTGGGTCTTCTTCTTACTACTGCTGCTGTGATTGCTGTTGTTGGTGTATATCCCGGGGTCGGCGGCAGGGGCGGCAGCCCTTAAATAAAGCTAATTATATTCTATGGAGACAGATGGTATGAACCTGGAACTCACAATGGTTACGTGGGGTTCATCACTTCCTGTTTGGTCTTCGCATGTCATGGTCATTCCGTTGACCAACACGGGGGGTTTTTGGCTTTTTGCCCCATCCACAGAACCATGGATCAATTCCGTGCAGGTCGTCCCAGTGGGATTGACCCTTTCACAGCGCGGGAACCTCCCAATGACCCTTTCTCCGCCTTTCCCAAGACCCGCTGAGTCTCTGACGCTGTCTGTGCATCCGAGTGGATCGCTCCTGGACGAAGGGCCACGTCGAGGTCCAGAACCCCCGTTGACGGGACCGGAGGCGACGCGTTCGGGTTCGGCGCGGTTCGGAGTGCCGCGGTGAGATAGTTGAATCCAACATGCGTTAGACATGATCAAAGAACCCCCCTGAAGCTTTTTGGTGCATCTTTGGCATGCTCTGGGTCCTAAGCCCAGCGTTCTAAGTCCCTGGTCAAAGTGTCCTTTAAGGAACAGATTCTCTCCTTCCCGGTCCATGCCCTTTCAGCCAAGCTTCTCTTTTCGTGCTGCAAGTCTCATGATGAGGTGTCCGGCGATTCCGTCTCATTGCTATCATCGATCCACCATGAGAGCAGACGGGTTTGGACATTTTTGGTGCTTGAGCTGATTGTTAGTGAACTGATGGAATACATCCAGACATTCTTTTTCAGACCCGAATTGACTGAATTGGCTGACCAGTGGCTGACCAGTGAATCCATTCCACATCCACGAAACGGAAGTCACTCATCACTTCCTCCAATCAAACATCATTGGGATCCAAAGGGAGCGAGACTGGCTCCGGGAGAACACACCCACACATGGGTCCCCAACAGATGTCTGCCATTGATTGAAGCCATGGCGTGCTCTTTGTGGGTGGCTCCTGAAGGTTCCGGATCCTGGGTGGGTCGCTTCATTTGATCGTCCAAGCCGCCCGTGCCGGCACCGGGCTTTCCGGTGAGCCCGGTGCCTCCGGCACCGGGTTCAGACGAATCGGAAGAAGAAAGACCTCACTCCCCATCGATAGCTCCCTATAGGTCCCCTTGAAAGGCACCTGGAAGGCGTCTGAACCTCCCAAAAACATTGCACCTGTGATGGATGTGAAGATATCCATGGCAAGAAAGGTGTGACACAAGGGTTTCTGAGGAACCAAGTTTCAAGTCCTGCATCTCCAGTTTTTTTCAAATGATCGAAATCCGCGGGAAGATCGACGCAGGGAAGACCGTTGACAATCAACATAAGACCTATAAAAAAGAGTCCTTAAAAGCGATCTCCCGTGTGGACAAGTCATTTGGTCAAAAAGGAGTGAATTCACCACCAATCTCTCCACTTGAATTCGTCAGGTTGAGCTTGCATTGTGCATCTGTCAGTTCGGAGCTTGAAAAAGCCATAGCTTGATCCAGGTCGGCCGTTCCGAACGTTTTCACATGATGTCATGATTCACATCGCGAAAAATACAATCACATCGTTGTTCCCAAACTCTGAAGGCTGTAACTTGATTGGCTGCAACTCTGCACGTCGAGCAATCATCTTTGCACTTCCGAAAGTATGCTCGCAGAGCCATGAGATGGAATTCTAGACTCTAGTTATTTTCTTAAGAGAACTAGTACTTATGTATAGACCAGGTGCCTTTAAAGAAGAGCTTTCCTAAGGTCCGGGTCCATCTTGCCAGAGACGTTCCTTCGTTCGCACAACACTGGAGCCACGCTTGGTTCATGTTTTACACCTGGAACCCCAAACAAGCCAAAACAAATGAAAGGGCATCGCTACGTTCGGAGCCAAGACGCTACTAGGGGCTCCTGGCATCGCTACCAGGAGCAAAGGGCCTTGCTAGGAACGGAGCCATGGATGTTCCGATGGAGATTCTTGACATACTAGGAACAAGTGCATCGCTTCTAGTAACAAGTGCCTTACTAGTAGTAACCATGTTTGCTATTAGTAACAAGTGCCACGCTAGTATAGTAACAAGAAGCTATATATTGCATCGCCCCCCCCGCCCTTCCCGACCCGATCGATCTCGGCCGCGGGGCTGACCCGCATCGGCGACCGAAAGAGCATCCGATGGTCCTGGTAACAAGGGTTGGTTTCGGTCACCTTTCGGTCACCGGTCTCCTTTGGTATAGAGATGGGCCATCTATAGAGACATCTCTCTTGGCTCCGTTTCTGCACTTCTCAGCCCTTGTCCCTCCACGATGATGTCAACTTCCCGAATCTTCGCCCTTGAGATGCCAGAACATATTCATTTCTGTAAAAGCTTGAAAACAAATGACACCCCCAACCATGCCATGCAAATGATCTATAGATTTGACGTCATCCTTCTAGAATCTACCCCCATAACAACACATCCTTCTCCAGCCTCGCCCTGGTGACCGATCCTTTTTGGAGCATCTGAGGACGCACCCGTCAGACCCCGTTTCTGCTCCGTGGACAGGTTCCACGGATGGATTTGGGAGCAGCAAAACTGCGATGTGGGGGGCCACGGGGTGGTAAGACCCCACGGCCTGGCACAGGTTCAGTAGAGGTGTCTTTTTCGTCAATCCACTGGTGTAGGGGTTTCTTTGGAGCCCAAGAACTGTCAAACACTTGTAGAGAAGAACTGGTGCCAGAAGAAACTGGTGTCAGATGATGTTCTGGTTTTGTGCCTGAACATCATCTGAACTTACTTGTTACCTTGGCATAACTTGTCACAACTTGGCATACCTTGTTTCCAAATCTGCGTCTCTTCTCCAATCTCTTCTCCACGAGCCAACGCCGGACCCACGAATTGACTGCCAGCCTCCTCAGAATGGTTGGACAACCTCAACATCTCTCACTCAGAAGACCTCTTCAAGGGGGGTTCTAACGGTTCCAACCCCCAACCTCACAGTCACAGTCGAAGAGAACAACCAACTGCACTGAGGAGGTAGACGTGTGTGCGACTTGCTGACACCGCGGCGCGGACATCGCGGTGCGACCGCCCCCGAGGTGGAGATTTTCCACACCTCGCCACGCAAGGCCCGATCTTCCAGCCGCCTGATGGGAGGATGGGCGAACATTGGGATGAACGAATCCTTGGTGGTTGTTATAATGGTTATATACCATACACCCTAGAAGTCGAACCACCCTTAAAAGAATTAGCCATCCCGAACAACCATTGTTTTACTCAGGACTTTACATTACAAAACCAGATCCACCGTATCAGACAACAATTTTTACCACATATTTAAGATATGTGTGCGTCCTGTATAATGGTTTATAGATTCCATTATCCAGGACGCAGGTGTGGGAGGTTCAGGACGAGTACCTCTCCGATTCGAATCGGTCACCCCCCCCGAGTCATCTGTTGTTCTTCTTTTGGTGTTGACCGGTCACCCCATACTACCGTAGTCAGACGGTTGAACGAGTACAAATGCTGGCAATCATAATCACCTTCTTGGCTTCTTCCTTTGCCTGAAACCTGCATGAAACACCAATGTTGCTGTAACTCTACTGCCGGTATGCAATATGATTGTATGACCAAGAACACAAGAACAGAGACCGAATGCAAACATGTTCTCTGCACTTTGGGTTCTACCAGTTGTCCTCCTCTGCACAGGAGTCCAAATTGAATCCTGAATTGGAGGATATGCAGTCCTGGATACCCTGGGTGAGATCATCTGGAGGTACCCTGCTAGTCCTTCGAACCTTCGAAGGAAGCCGATTTCGGGTGGTGCAACGCTTTAGCGTTGGTGGACATGTTGGTCTCCCTATGTTGCTATGAAACCTTTACATGTTGGGCTAAACAAGAATGATCACGAACTCTCCCAAACTTCCAAAATTTCTCCCCACGTACCTGTCTCGGTGACGAACTCCCTGAGTTACACATAATTATCTACCAGGACACCCTAAGGGGTGACTATTGATAGCCCCTTAGAGGTTAAGGGGTGTCCATTAACCACCCCTTGTGGGTCCTAGTATAGGCTATAGTGTATATTTCTTATATATATATATATACCTGCAACCTCTAGGTATGCATAATTTTCATCGTTGGCTGAAACAACGGAAATTTCCATCGTTGGCTGCAAGAAGTGTCGTTGCTGAAAAAAACGTCGTTGACTGTTGACGTCACACTTGTGGCTTCAGTCTTTTGAAATGAGTAGGCATTCATGCTAACACTTCCTACACAATTGGTTGTGAAGTGTAGACTTCATGCTCCACACCAAAGCCAAAGATTCAACAATGTCCAACATGTCTAAACTGAACATAGCTAGACGACCATGGTGCCCTTCATCCTGGCCATGGGTTGGATTGGATAGTCCGGGACCTCAGCATTCCCAAACCCACCACCTCCCAAACCCGTTGTTTTAACTCTTTCGCTTCAACTTTCCCTTCGTCTTTCGCACTGCCAAGTACCTCCTGTGCACGGTCTTACACTGTATCAAGTAAAGATCCAGAGTCCTTTTCGCTGGCCAATGCTGACTGACCCGGCGCGACAAGCGGGACAGTCGCCCCACTGTGTCCTCGTTTTGCTCCGTTGCGAAAATCACCGGATTCAATGCAACAGGTCTTTTGCCAACCAAGAGCATGTGAAGGTCATACTTCTCGTGGGCCAACATATGCATTTTGGTTTTCTTGGCGTACCCCGTGTAGGCATGCTTATAAAGCGACAGGAAAGACAGCGTGTTGTACTCTTTCAAAAACAAATGCAAAGCCTCGTATGTTGCAGCAGCACAGTGCCGGCTGAGCCAGATACCGTGAGTGTACACGATCTTGAAAAAGCGCTCTCCCTGAACAGCTGCCCGGTGCATCGACTCAAGCGTTTGCTTGTGCTCCGGATCCTTCAGGTCAAAAAGGAGGCAGCGTGTGAGACAACGGAGCCAGGACACACATAGGCTCGTGTCGCTGCCCTTGCAATTGATCCATGGATAGTCACTCCATGAAGTAATGCTAAAGAAGAGAGAGTTGAAACTGCGTAGGGCGGGCGTCTTGCCCGTGCTGCAACACCACAAACTGAAGTGGGCGTGCGCCCGGCCCAGCAGAGCATCTCGGCTGTTGCTCCCATCACTGTCGTGAAAGTATCCAAGCAAGCAAAGTAGAAGCACTGTGCTTGCTATGTAGTCACGGAATGTGCCTTGCTTAGCATTATGAAATACATCGCGACGCAAGATTCTTTCTGGCGCTGCTGCATCAAATGGGAGATTCGTAATGGCTTGTGGTTCGTTGTCTTGTGCCCATGGTCGTTGGAAGAACATGGTTTGGGCCCAATCTGGATTGTGGGTTGTTTGTTCAAATGGCATGTCTGCCGTTCCAGCCATGCACTGGTGGCAGCACGGCTCATCCGGTTTCAACTGCTTGGCAAAGCAGCGTGACAAGTTTGCAATGGACTGGTACCATTTGAGGTCACCTTTCATCCCAGTAAGGGCAGCAAACACCTTTCCTTGACCCGTTTCCAGACCAGACTCGAAAAGCTCCCGGAAGTCCTGACATAGCCTACCCATCAATCGCTCGAGGAGGTCAGTTTCCTTGAAGTAGGAATGCGGTAGGATACTGAGGGCATACTTAGTCAAAAAGCTGTGGTGTTTGTAGTTTGAAACATGCTGCGCGAACAGTGGGATTTCACCAAGATCGTTGGGGGAAGCCATGAACCCTTCCCTCAAGTCATACCTTTTCGCTGTTGACTTGGACACGCAACAGCTCTCACAGCATCTGGAGTCTCGGGGATTTGAAGGATCCATGAGGCCCAAGACGGTCTCCATGGTGATGATGCATGTGTTTCCACGTTTCAGGCCGCGGCCCTCGTCCCCGTAGAAGGCAAGACCTATTGTGTTGCTGAGCCTTCTCTCCGTATTCCCGGAAGCCTCGAACAAAACATGTGTTGGGTGAATCTCCCGGTAGTGATTCCAAAAGCATTCCCAATGCTTGGCACCCAGTTCCAAATCATCAAGGCCCCCATAAAGAAGGTGTGGAGCTTTGCCAAGAAGAAATTTCAAGTAATCCTTCGGTGATATGTAGGGAACTTCAATCTGTGAGCCATCTTTTTTTTGGAGTGGCAGGTAGCTGTAGGGAATCTTCCAAGCTAAGTTCCATCTTCCAATAAAGGCGTGAGCCTCTCGGCAAGCATTGGCACCGCTGGATGCCTTTGAGGCCAACTGCCTCTCTCCAACCTCTGCTCGGGCTTTGTCTGCAACGCGTCGAAGCTTCGCCGCTGGGACCTGGTGAGAGGAGGGCGGACAATGCGATGGACTTGAGAATCTTCAATTGAGCACCCCACCCCTTCAGACAGAAGCTCTGCATAGTTGTTGGTCAGATCCCCAGGCTCAGGAGCTTTGTGAGAACCTGGCAAATTAATGAGCAACACAGGTCTTCAGACTCTTTTCGGGCCATGGTCATTAGCCCGATGTGATCAGCCAAGTCAGCAATCGAAACGAGATGGACGAATACCAAATTTGTTCTCGCCCCAAGCTGAAGAGTTCAAGAACTCTGCATGTTCACACGCAGAATCACACAGTAATTGATGACTACCGTCGGTTGACCTTCGCCCACCAAGTCAAGACTGAATTATAACTACAAGTATCAAGAGCATAAAAGGAAAGGGAAAGGTAAAGGTAAAGGTCAACAAAACCCCTAAGTCAGAGACACGCACTACTGAAATTGCCTAAAGTGCGAAAAGCTCTGATCTATAGCGATCACAGCAGCGCTTCACTTGGCAGTGCGCGGTCGCTTGACAGGCGCATCATCTCCTGCCTTTGCTTTGGCCTTGGCCTTTGCCTTAGCCTTACCTTTCACAGCCGCCTTTGCGGCCGCGCGACCCTTCGCACCCTTCTCATCCTTTGACTCTTTTGGAATGAAAGGCCTGGGGTCATCAACTAAGCAACTAACAAGGTCGGTTCGGACGTTAGCCAAAACCTGCAAAGCGGTTTAAACTTAGAGTGGGACCTGGCCCGAGCTTCCAAAGCCAAAGATGCAGCAGCCCTTGGATCAATAGCACGGGTTTGTTCCAATTTCCCCCATGAAAGATGGACACGAACCAAGTGAGAATGCTTTTCCAAATTCCCCATTCTTCAAATACAAAGTTGAGCGAAAACAAACTCTTAGTTCCACGCTTGGCACTGGCTTGGTTGATTTGATGCTTCAGCTGTTGTTCACCCCTGCAGGCGCGAATGGCCAAACTAACTAGCATTCCATTCTCTTTTTTTGAGCATTGCTTTCGATGGCTGAGGGTATGACTCTTTGGTGTGTCCTGAGACAACACCCTGTGAGTAGGCATTCGACAGGGACTTGTGGATCTCCTCCAAAGCTGAGGACTCACTCAGCAGAGCCTCCCGCAACCTCGCAGCGCAGCTCGGCTATGGATTCCGAAGCGAAGTTGTTTGGGACCATTCCAACAATGACACCTCTGCTTTGATGGGTTGTTAGCACCTTTCCGGGCTATCCTTCATTCGTGAAAATTCATTCCCTTACCCAGTTACATGATGAGCACGTCAAGAAGCCGAGTCTGAATATCGGAGAGTTTTGGCTTGTTGAACTTTGCAGTCAGGGCTGCCAAAGACGAGATTCGCTTGGCCATGCATGTCCTCACGAGGCAGGATGGGATGGGAGACAGATGGCAACCTAGACGCTCATCCAAAACTTTCGGACACGGAGCAACTACAGTAATCCAAAACGGTGAGCAGGTGGCAATCCGGAACCTTTGAAGCCTTGAACAGTCAATTGAGTTGAGTGGCAAATATTTTGGTAGGCAACTGCTTGGCAAGGCGTCAGGATCCATCTCAGGGATTCCAAGCTTCTTGCGAAGTTTGGCGCCATTTTCCTGGTTCTCATCGTCGGACTTCGTGATTTCCTCTTCACCTCCAAGACATACATGAGAAATGGGAACTTGTCATGTAGGGAGCCACGACAACACTGCCTACAGTAACTACAGTGACCTGGCCTTCTTCAACCCCTTCACCAAGAACACACCCTGGTTTCAGTTCAAGGTCCTGGAGGCCGCCCTGCACATCCATGCGCGCACGATGGTTGATCTCGATCGAAGATCTCTTCCTGACTGACTGGGGACGAATGGGGATGTTGCTGAAGAACCAAAGCACCAAAGCAAGTGTAGGAGTTTGCCTAGAACTGAATGCTGAACTCTTCACTGCAACAGCTTGAACATACCTCTGCGTTCCAACAAGGGGCTTCATCGAAGCTTTGTAGCTGCGCTCAACGTAGTAGAGCGTGATGTTCTGATAGATGTCTTTCCTGCGGGGCCCAGCTGTGAATTTGTTAAGGTTCTTAAAAGCATTGTTGAATGGTTGCGCTGCGACCAGTTAGTAAGTTGCCTTTGCCAGGTTGGAAAGAAAAGATTTGGTGAATGCGCCAGAGCCTCATCAACTTACTGGGCTGGGTGCGGCAGTGCTTCTTGATGGCCTCTATGCGCTGCCTGGGAGCAGCAAAGTAGCGATTCACCATTCAGTCAAAACACCTAAACAAATTCTGATACAAGCCATGTTCTTTGCTTAGCTTTGTCAATTCCCATGTTATAAAATTAGAGTCGAAGCGCTCGCTAAATCCCCACTCGATCATGTCTGCTTCCGTGGCAAATTCTCCTTCCACAGTGAGCTCTGTGGATTCCATCTCCGACCTTAAGACTTCAACCTCCGAGACAAAGGTCTCCTCGGCAGTACCGCAAACCTATTGGTGAAGCTGATAGTATGGGTCAGGGCTACCTTCAATACAACTGCCCCCCCCAAAAAAGTTTTTAAACGACAAGCTAGGTTCAGGATCGTAACCACACTGTTTAAAGATCATCTCAAGGTTGCGTCGACGAGGCCCCTTCCCTTTCCACTCATCAAAAATTTGCTGGCTCACTTTGAGCGAGCCATCAGCTCTGGGTGTAAAGATTCTTTTAGCTCTCTGTTTGACCGCCTCAGGACTGATATCATGCTGGCCCACATGGGGCTTCGGTGCTTTCGTGTCATTCAGAGCGGGGATCAAATCAAACGTTGTTGTCAAGTCTCTGCGGGCCTCATCATCATCATCATCATCGGTCCTGGCTTTCTTCTGTGCTGGCAGAGGCTCATCTTCATCTTCCCTTTTGGCGACGTCCGCGGCCACGGCCACGGCCACGACCCCGTCCACGTTTTGACTCTGCTGGCTCTTCTTTGTTCATCTTCTGCACATTGGTCTTCATTTTCTTGAATGCTTGCTGGTCCAGTCTCGTGACTGTTGGCAATGCAGGACCGCCGCCGCTAGAATCAGAGCCGTCTTCATTCTTCAACTCTTCGCTCCTCTTCGAAGCTGCCGAGCCAGAGGGCACTGTTTCCTCAGGCTTCTCTGGGCCCTTGTGCTCCAACTCTTTATTTTTCACCTTCTCTTCAATGACCACTGTTTCCTCGGGTTTCTCCGGATCCTTGTGCTCACCCTTTTCGATCTTACCTTTCTCAAGATTCTTTGACTCTTTCTCCCCTCCCTGCGCCTGTTCACTATCAGACACTCGAGGCGGCTCAAACTGTTCTTCCCCACCGAAGCCATCCACGGTCTCCTCTTTCTGCCCAGCATGCTTGGCAACTTCACCAGAGGCAGGCCCGGCATCCCCCGCCGGTGGTCCCCCAGAAAGCCCAAAGCCTTTGCCTGACGGCGACTCACCAAGAATCAAAGTTCGTGCCTTGAGCAGCTTTTCCTTTTCATTTTCTTCCGCGTGAGCTTCAAGCACATCTTGGGTCTTCAAAGGCCCAGCCTTAAGCAACTGACTGGAGGTTTCCTCCACAGGAGCTGCAGGTATGTAGGTATCCTTGGGCTCCATGGGCACAGCCTCACAGGACTTAGCCGCGTTGGCATTCTCCACAACACTCTCAGCTGCGGTCATATCTTGGGTATCCATGGGCACAGTGTCCACCATATCCATACCTGACCACCGTGGCGTGGATGGTAGGCAACAAAAACTCTTTGCTAGGCTTCAAAGATCAAAAGGATTCAAGGGTCCTTCCGCCAACCCTGCAACGTTCTGCATCCATGGTGCATGGGCCAGCGTTTTCTTTTGCCTGCCGAGGTTGATCTGGCACTTCAGGAGCAGCTTCAAGACAATGCCTTTGTTGCGGCAGGCAGTCTGTTGCGGCGACGTGATACGCTACTGTGGGTCTTATTCAAGGTTGGTTATAGCTGGTTTGTTCATACACAAAAAAGGATCAAAACCAGGTAAGGGACCTTAGGGCTTCAGCACGTGCTCTGATGCAAGCCCGAAGTTCTTCAGGGTCAGTTGGCCAATGGCTTTCCGCCCCCAAAAGTTTCGAGGGAAGAGTTTCTGGCATCTCCAATTTTGCATCCGATCGATGGGCTGGCTCCACCACTGGAACCCTGTCTTCGGGTAGCGCTGGAAGAGCTGGGGCCGAACTTGTGCTTTCGGGTACCACTGGGTCAGTGTCCTCATCGTCCGGGTCAGAATCACACGCATCGTCATAGCCATCGTTGGCAATGGGTCCAGACTCAGCCCAGTGACGCTCGAGGATGGCGAAAAAGTTCTCCAGATTTGGGTCCTTAATCACGGTTTTGGAGCGGTGACCCTCAATGAAAATAAGCGAAGTAAGGTTCCCCAGAATTAGAAAGGAAAATTGTTTAAGGATAAAGCAAGTCAAGTCTCCTTTGTGCTGGTTCTGGCAAGAAATCTCCTGATGCCATGGGAAAAGAGCTTCTTCATTCCGCTTGCATCCATGTGACAGGCCACTTGGTTTTTGGTCTTGCCGGTAAGCTCCCTGAAGAATGCCACCTAAATGGGGGGTGTTTGGTTGAAACATGGTGGTGGATGGGCTCCGTCTGAATCACAACATCTTGTGAACATGAGTGTTTCAACCACCCCACCTCCCTCCTCATCACGTTGATGTTGACGCATTTTGCGATGGGTTGCACCGGGCAGTACCACTCCGCAAGCTTTTCCAAGGCGGTGACGTTCAATCCCATGGCTTTCACCGATGGGATTCCTATTGCCACATTCTTGGTCTTCGGGTTTGTGACCCAGCGAGTCAAGTAGGGGAAGTCCTGATCCATCATTCGTGCCCTCAAGGATGACTCACTTTCCCAAAGCTTGGCCAATGTGCCCTTGGCCAGGCGCGGATCACTCCACACGTTCGGAGCTGAAGGCGGGCCCTGTTCGGGTGGTGGTGCCGGGTCCATGGTTGAAACAGAAGAGCTCGGAAGACTAAGAGCTGATGGTGCACAAGCCGAAATGCTAGTGAGTCAGGTTCTCACTGAAACAAGATTGGCATAACAAGCCCACGACTCTTTTATACAAACGTTTACTTCCGCTTTGATCGCTCGAGCTGACGGGCGCACGTGGCCAGGTGATCATCGCGACGCCCATGGTGATGGCCAAAGACATGGCATCCGTGGCATCCATAAATCGTTTCAATGTTGACATGCATGATTGGAGTATGTTATGGAAACATGCGATGCCAATGACGGTTCACCCAGTGGAACGTGTGCTTGATGCGGGTTGAAAAGTCCAAGTGGGGACTTCTTGGGATCAATGAGATTGCCAAGAATGCAAAAATCAAGGAAACGCTCGAGGACGGAAAAAAACGTTCGCACTGCCCAAAAGCAGTTATGCTCCAAAAGACGAAAAAAATGAAGCACTACGATGTTGTAGGTATTAATGTATGTATTATACCAGCATCCTCCAACAGGTCACCAATGCTTCGACCTGTTGGGGCCCTTCCCAACCCTCCTATGCAACGGAGACCTGTTGGAGTCGGATGCTTGTAGAGTCGGATGACCCAGGCATGGCACCCATGCAGCAAGTCCAACCTCGTTTTCGCGACCCCCAAAACCACACCACCCGATTTGATCCATCACTCGCCTCCCAAGATGGCGCCGCCCCGCGTTGGCTTCGCCTGTGCGTCGCTGTGGACCCTGGACCCCGGTGGAGGCTACGTCGGTTGGCCAAGAGGTTCCCAGTGGATCAGTCATGTTAGACTCGCTGACCCCCGGTGGAGCCGAAAAAACGACGTGGAGCCGAACATGGGTGGGTTTTGAGTTGGACCGAACTGTCCATCTGGAACATGGTGGTTTAGTGGGGTGTCCAAGGGATATCAACTGGTTTGGGTGTCCCTCAAGTGGGGCGTCTCCGGTTGTGCAGGTCCACTTTGAATCCTTTCCCGAAGAGCGGAGATTCATAGCGAAGAGGGGGCAAAGGATGATAAAAGGTTGAAAGCGACACCTACCTTGAAATATCATTAAGTATTAAGTAGGTAGCTGGTTAATTCATGAACCATCTCCAAATATAGAGAGGCTTTGGCCAACAGTCTACCTGTCGGAACCGTGTGGCCTGTTGGCCTCGTCAGACCTCCTCAGCTCCGGTGCCGCACCCGTTCCTCGTCACGCGGTCCACGGTCTTCCGGTCCGTTCCTCGTCACCGGTCCTTTCTCCAAACGCCCTCCGTATAACGAGCGAATCTTGTTTCTACATTCGCGAATCCTTGTTACTATACTAGCGTGGCACTTGTTTCTAATAGCAAACATTGTTACTAGTAGTAAGGCACTTGTTACTAGTAGCGATGCACTTGTTCCTAGTAGCTTATTGTTTCCCTTTCTTCTCAAAACGCCCTCATGGAGTGATTCGACCACATCTCTTTCGCCTGGAGTGAGTCACCCATGGCCCCGAGAGCTCGAGGAGCAGCGCTGTTTTCAACCGAACCGAACCCCACCCAGCCGGTCTTCACCCGACTCACCTGACCCACGTGGACCGCGCGCGTTGCGCCGCAGCCGCACCACACATATACATACATTCATAAATTAAGCACGTATTGGGAAGAAAAGCGGAAAGGAATGGCTTGCGGATGTTCTGTTCGACCTGCAAATGTTTGCCATGGTTTGGGGGTTCGGTGTCCGTGCGTTCCTTCAAGAAGGGTGTCGAAGCCGGTACCAATGGGACACTCCCACAGCGAACGGTCGCCCACAGTGTCGTGTTACGCGCTTTTGCTGGATCTGCAACGCGCTTCACGAACAGGCCCAAACAAGCTTCGGGAGATTGTTAACCAGACTTCCCCCCAAACATAGGGGCCAAGGGGAAGTCTTCAGGGATCTTCTCATATCTCCGTTCATCAATGAGAAGCAATATTTTTTTGGATGTCGAGGATGCTGGTCACAGCGATCTGGTACGTACGGGGGGCGCGGCGAACGAGTGTTTGTCCTTTTTCGGTGGGGTGGGGGGAATGCCATGAACGGTCGGTCCAGAGTGCTCTAAAGATCGGCCCAGCACGTCGTACATTGGAAGGATGGGTTGGGGCCCGGGGTGTTCCCGCGGAAGTGTTGATGAAGTGTTTTTAGGGCAAGAAGTGTTTTTGTGGATGGTTGAATGAATGATAACACCTGTCCATTGATAACACCCTTCTTCTTCTTCTTCTAAAAGAAATGAGCAGGAATCTACATTAGACATGAGTGCCTCAGAAAGACCCCGGTGAAAGAAGATAACATGGACTCAAATCGCTGTGGGAAGGGCCCTTCCGATTTTTTGAGATGTTTTACTCGCAGCTCGATTCTTGGATTGAGGGTTTTATTTGGGTTGAGGATCCATCAGTCATTGCGGTCAACAATCCCTTCAAACATTTCTGCCAGCAGCAAACACACCGCAGCCTAGCAACAAAGCCGTACTCAAAACTGAAGTGGCGACGTGGCTTGCACGACACTTTGGCGGGGCTTTGGGCACCTGGGATTTTGCATTTCACTGCTGTTGCTACATCCCCCACTGAAATCGAGTGCTTGTTCCATGAGAGCAAGGGCATATCTCCGCTAGCCAACAAGACAGGACCGCAAGAAGTCACAAACATTGCGTGAATTGCGTTTTTGAGAAGCACATGTCTTGCAAACAAGAACGTGCCTTCGTCTTGTCTACCTGGGGTAGTGGGCCTTGTGGCAACCCTTTTGAATGCTCGAGCCGCGAGAAAAGCGTGTTCATGATCTGCTCTTAGGAGGTGATGTTGAGGAACACTTGACTCACTTGGGTTCCTTCGTTTGGCCATGGAATTTGTGTGTTCTTGTGGTAGAGCATCTTGTTGAATGCTCGAGGAAGGGCGGCTACAGCCTCTGGCGCCGAAAAAAGCGCGCATTGTTGATTGCTTTTCTCTGTATCAACTCGAAGAGTAGGGTTGGTTTTGCTTCTTGGGGCAAGCTGGCAGGGAACTAATACCTAATACTGTACATGAAGATGTACATCAAGAGAATTGTGGCGTTTCTGGCAGGACCAAATTCTTGACACTGACGTCACCAAACCCCTCCGCCAAAGCCTTCGCCAGAAAAGACAACAAAAAATAAATCATTTCGCATGGGGTTGATCTATACCAAAGCTTGGTTGCTGTGTATTGGAGCTTCAAAACAATTCACTATAATTGTACTTTCAATGATGTATCATCAACAGGTATTCTACAAAGCTCACCTGTCTATGTCATTAATGCAAGAACGGTTTCTGCTGCACTGCAAGAAAAACATGAAATAAACAGCTTCATCAACAAATTACTCCCTCACGTTAAGACCAACCCATTGCAAGCCTACCCAGAGTTGTAAATACATTGACAAGCAAAAAATGAAGGCAGCTGCAACGGCAGCTGCAGATCAACCCCATTTTTGTACAAGCCCATCTTGTGAGGACTCTTGAAACGCATCGAGCTGGATATGTTATCTGACTATCCGAAAGATGACTTGCTTGCCCTGAGAGGTTGGAGAGGGGACGGGAGGAGTGCCCAAAACCGTCACCGGCATCCATCATCGTCGCTGGTTGGAAGCCCAAACGCTGGCGGGTCAAAGTTGATGCACAAGAAGAACTTGAGTCATGCACCGCTGCGAGGAGCCCCTGTACACTCTGTCCAACCGCCGCTTTTGAGGGATCGCTACTACGGTCTAAGTATGAAGAAAGCTGCCAGTTGCAGCCTGGCTGCTTCAGCTTGAAGGGCTACTTCCATCGACTTCTTAGATTGGACTCCACACCACAACGGGAGTCCAGCTCTCTTCGGTTCTCAGGGGTTGAACCGGTCGTTTTGGGCGATTCCCGGAATCCGACCACTTCGGTGCCGTCAGGGTCCGTCGCTCGTCGCAGGTCCGCGACGCGGTCGCTCGCTTCGTCACAGACGGACGGTGAGCTCCAGGGGATCGCCTCAGGAACGGACTGCATCGGTGTTCTGCGACGCCGGAAGCAGATCCTGAATACAGACCCATGGATGATCGTTAACGTTAATGTCATCTACAAAAGTGGACATGCAGAACGTCATCACGTATACACCAACACCCTTTTCAACGGCCACCTGAGGCAACAGGGTTGTGATTTTCCCACGGGCAAGCTTTATGGCAAAACGACCTTTTCCCTACCACCCGTACTTCAGCATCGATTTGGTTTTCATTGTCAGGTCTTCATCGACATAGCATGTAGCATCGATGATGAGAAACAGGGCAGACTTTAGGGATTCGATGTCGGTGGCATCACGCTCCAGGTGTGGTTTTCACCATGTTGAACCCTTTTGGAAGCGAATCCGTGAAGCCGAGTGGAGCGTTCTGAAGCCAAGTTGAACCCTTTTGGAATCCTGTGGAGAAGGGTCTCCGACTGAAGAGCCTGCTTGAATGTACATTTGAGATGCTCAACTGTCCTCCGAGCTGTATGGAACACCGGATGGTTTTGGTTCAAGCTTTCCACTGAAATCGACTCCATTGAGTCACATTGAGGAGGCAGAAGGAGCACCCTCTTTCCACAGAGAGAAAGTGATTGGCCATCACAAACCTTGACATCTACGGACATCTACATCAATCTCCTGTTGAACCAACAACACAGGCCACTCCCCAGGCCACTCCCCAGGTGTCCCCCCTCCCCAGGATGTCCCATGTCCCAATGAAACGCTTCATTCACCCCCATCGATCCTCACCCGGTTTCTTCCACCCGACGTCCTCGATCCCCCAACCGCACCTTCTCGCCTCGCGCGTCAGACAGCTTCGCTCGGTTGGTGCCGTTCGACGTCGTTCCGACGCGACCGCGACCTTCGGTGGCTCCAGGGACCGCACCAAAGAGGTCCAACTCGTTCTCCCTGGGCGTCGACCGCGGGGAGACCCCCCGTGGCGGACGTGCCGCGTGTCTCCGTGCCGACGGACGGAGGGAAAGGAGCGGACAAGGCGAAGAGGACAGGCCGGTGGGAAGAAACTCGGTGAGGAGAGCTCAAGTCTTCTTCGGATGGGCTAAAAGCCCAAGTGGATCAAAAAGAGATCAAACGCTTTGAAACTAACCAACACCACCTAATTATAGCGTGTTGCAATGTGTCGAACATTTCCAACAGTAGTTAACAGGGTTGTTCCATGAAACGACCAGGCGATTGCGTGCGGTTGGGCTCTGTCTTCGAGTTTTTGGTTCACCCCCTTTCAGGGCCAAAACAGCCCCGTGCCCGCTTCCCCCATGAGTCTGTTGCTCCACCGCCCTTCGCCTTCGCGTGCCTCTCCCGACGACCACCCTCCGGACAGGAGGACCCCGGCAGATCCAAGTCGACGGTGTGCACGTCCGGAAACAGCTCCGACCTCGTCGCACCCGCCGCGGTCGCTCGCACCGCCGTTCGCTCGTCCGTGGAAGTGACTGAAACGGCCCGGAGATCGTGGACTGGAGCGAGGCCTTTCGGAGCCTTGCGATGTGCCCGAACTTAGCACTTGACACCACCGGACTTGGCTTGAAGATTCGAAACTGCTCCATGAAGAAACCTGAGGGTTTCTGTCCTAGAATTCAAGGAACTCCATCACCAAGCACTTCCTGAGAGTGGGTGATCATCCCTAAAAATTCACATCTGGTCGCGTTAAAACCCCTTCGTGGCCCAGGCGCGTCGCCCAGCGTTACGCGTCGTTCTCACCCTCCGAATCGTTTGGATCGCCACTGCACCCATTCCCTTGCGTCACCTGGAGAAGAAACCGGCTTGGGCCTGGTGCCATAGCCGGCTGTGGGGAAAGAAGAAAGACCGCTCTGTTGACCAGGTGTCCCAGGTGTGTTCCAATCTGTACCGGCTGTGTGCCAAGATGTCTACCTGGCTTGGCCACAGAACATAAACAGAACGGACGACCGTCAGGAGAGTTCCATCCAGGTGCCATGGGTCATGGCCACCCCGCCGAGGTGGCCGCATCGCTGGCTTTCTTCGGTCACGAGGTGCTCGATCTTTTGGGGCTGGTGCGTTCAGACCCCATTATACCCAGACACGACCTGTCTGGGACTGGCAGTCCCAGACAGGTTCTGTCTGGGATAGCTAATTACTATCTGAAACTGAGCCCCAAGATGCCCCAAGTCCCATCTGAAACGCTTTACCGCCCCAAGTGGCGGCAGATCATCCGAGGCCTTGAACGACGCTCCGGACGCAGCGATCGAGGAAGACAGCAGATGGAAGCCAATTGGACGGCTGCTTGGAACTGGTTGTGTTTTTGTGACCTACAATCTTCATCATATAAACCATATGTTGCGCCTGGAGTTGACACATTTTGCAAGGTCAGTTGAAACAGTTTTATGATAAATCAGGTTTGAAGCCATACGGTTCCTGAAAACTCGAAGGTGCATGAATGATCTCACCTCGAAGCAAACCTTTGTCAAGACGATCTCTGAAACTGAGACCATTTTATAGTAGAACTCGTCTATCACTAAGTGGGATGGTACTCCAATGGAGTTCGGAGAACGCAACCGCAAGCATCGACAAGTGATGTTCTTCTTATGTTTTGACCTGATGAGATGACGAGGAGTGGCATTTTAAGCTCTTCATGGTGACTAGTTCATTTTTTCTCCAGCGTTTCACAAGTCCTATCTCACTTCCCTTCAGTATAAAACAATGTTGCAACATATGGAAACATACTAGTACTGGACACAAACAGAACCAAACAACACATCATCATCATCATCATCATCATCATCATCATCATCATCATCATCA